TGTGAAGCCGTCTGTTATGCCGTAAAGAGATTGTTTTCTGAAGAAGGGCATCTTTGTGATTGAGGATCATGACTCCATGTTGCATTAGAGCTCTGGAGTCTGCCTTTTGATTTCAAACCCACCATGAATGTCCGTTGTTAACACTTGAACATGTCAAGATAGGGGCTCATCTCCCTTGTGTTAGGCTTTTTGCAAGAATCTGAATTGCAGGCTGATAGTTACCTCCTGCCTTAGCATCTCTGCTTCTAGAAGTTAAGAAATACTAGAAGTTCTATATTCTTAATTGCCTTTCTAAAAAGAAAAAAATCACTTAGTTGGTTACTTTGTATTGACCAACCTCTCTGAAGCTAGGTAAGCTTGTAGTCAGCAGGCATAGAGTGTGTTCCCTGGCGTGGAGTGCGTTTCGAAGCCTTTCCAGCTTGATAGAAGCTGCACTGCTTCTGTTGGCCTGGCTCCCAAGATCCCTGAGCTACTTCTGTACTTGATAAACCAGAAGAGTAGGATTTGTGTGGAGACTATGGCTATGAGACTTTTTAAAACAGCCTTAGTTCTAAAACTCAGCATTTCTATGTATGTATGTGTACCTTGTTTTAAAAGTCTTAATTTAAAAATATTTAATTGACTCAAACTCGGATTTCCATCCAAACCTTTTTTTAAAAAATTAGCAATATCAGAGCAGGGTATAAGTCTGACACTGAAGGTTGGGAAGCTCTGAGCAGGCGGTTAGTCTGTTTACTGTATCATATAACCATGACACATCATCAGTATTACCAAAGCATTACGTTAAAGCATGTTTTGTATTTATTGTAATTTTATCAGGTATAAAAGGAACAGGCTTATAAGAAGAGTGAATTTCTGTTTGTGTTCCACAGGCATCTATGGCTTTAAGCAACCAGTTCAGTCTTGTTCTGGTAGTTGGAGAAAGGCTAAAAGGATTACCTAGTTTGTTTTGTTCTGTAGAATTTGTTCCTTTAGAAAATTTTCCCTTATCTTGATAAGTTGTTTGGGATAGAAGCTGAGAGGTCCTCTGCCTCTGATAGCGTGCATATGCCCCTTCCTCCTACCTGTATTTATATTTAAACAAGCCCAAGTAATAGTATTTTATATACAGAGTTTTTTCTTCAGATTATTGCTGTGACCTTTGAGTATCCATTTATCCATGAACACAGTTGTTGTGTTTGGGATAGAGATGACACTGGTGGAAAGCAGGGGGGCCCAAGTTTTAGTGTCTGGACTTTAACACGCTCTGTAAGATGGGGCTAATTAGACTCTTTGGGACCTTAAGAGGACAGGAACCAGTGCTGTGTTCTACTTATTGTTGTATTCCCTAGCACCTACCAGAAAGCTCTGCACATTATATGAACAAGGAAGATAACTCCCATTTATGAAGGGCTTTGCAAGGCACTTTCCTTACTCCTCTCTGGGGTAGGGAGTACATGTATTTTATGAATGAGGAAACTGCCGCTCAGCAAGGTCCCCAGTACCCAGGGTCACCCAGCTGGTCTGTGTCAGAGCCAGGAAGTGTGCCTTGTATTTTTTTCATTATACAATGCTGTCTTAGAGAATGAATTAAATCATAGTTCAGTTCATTTATTAAGTTCCTGTGTCCTACATACTGGGAATACAAAGCCTGCAGAGAGCTTACATTCTTTTGGAGGACAGGGGCAGGGAGAGAATATAACTTTTAAAGAGAGAAGGTATAATTGTTTCTGTGAAAACAAATTGTTAGGGTGATGGTGCTAGAGGGAGTTGTTAGTTTCATAGGAGGAATGTCATTGTAGTTGTTATCATCATTATCATCACCAACATTTATGTAGTGCTTTAAGCTTTGTAAAACACTTTACATAGATTAGCTCATTTTATTCTCCCAGTGAAATGGGTGCTATTATCATCATTTAATAGGAAACTGAAGTAGACTGAGGTGAAGTGATTTGCCCAGGGTCACACAGCTAGTAGGTGCCTGAAGCAGGATTTGAACCTAGACCTTCCTAACTCCACATCCAACATTATCTGCTGTCCCTTCATTTCCATAGGGCTTTATTTCACAGTTATACAGTGGGGTTTGATTACAGTGTATTAACAATGATATTTTCTACAGTGAGGCAGCATTATATGAAAATATGCATATAGTGAAGGAAGATTTATGAGGGCTTTCCCGGGGCCATGGGGAAGGAGCTGTTGTTGAAAATGCTCTGATGGGGGCAGGTAGGTGGCGCAGTGGATAGAGCACCGACCCTGAAGTCAGGAGTACCTGAGTTCACATCCAGCCTCAGACACATAACACTTACTAGCTGTGTGACCCTGGGCAAGTCACTTAACCCCAATTGCCTCACCAAAAAAAAAGAAAAGAAAAGAAAATTCTCTGATGTTTTTGACTTTTTTTTTTGGTGAGGCAGTTGGGGTTAAGTGACTTGCCCAGAGTCACACAGCTAGTACTCATGGTGTTTGTGTCTGAGGCCGCATTTGAACTCAGATCCTCCTGACTCCAAGGCCAGTGCTGTATCCACTATGTCACCTAGCTGCTCCCTGTTTTTGACATTTTAAAAGAACATGCCATGTTATTAAAACAAGTTCAGGCATCATATATACTTTGTTGTATAATTTTTTGCACACCACTCATAGTCAGGATATGTGTAATAATACTTGGGATTTTTCAAATAAACTTAGAAGAATAATTGTCTTTTTTGTCTGATGTCTAAAGATTGGTTCAGGGAGAGGCATGACTTGTGATTGGATTTTATGTCAGGGCTGAGCTCTTGAGAAAGGGATCCGGGAATGGCCAAACACAAAGCAGTCAATGGCTAGTGAAGGCTTTTGTCATTGGCAGCTGTGTTTATGTTTTATTTTTAGAGCATTTAACAGTTATTTCCAGTGTAATGACTATAAACACCCTGTTGTGTTGGTTTACTTTGGCTTTTCCACCTAGAAACCTTGTGTAGCACCTCAGCCCTCAATCATCACGAATGCAACTGGGTGTTTGGCAATATCTCAGTCTGTTCTGCAGGGAATATAAATTAATCAGGTGACACTCTTGGTAAAAATTGAGGCAAATCCCTGTCCTGCATTCCTTTTGAAATTGAAGACTTCTGTTGTAAAGATGGCCAACTTCTGAAGTAGGAAGGGCTTTAAGATTTTGCTGTTATAGAACTAGTTCACCTGGTGGAAAAATAAAGAATAAACACAGATAAGGCATGCCAAATTATTTCCCTGGGCAAATACAATTCCTGGCTTCCACTTGACCAAGTCTGAAGAGGTTGAGATGTGGGTTAAGGCCCTACCTTTATCACAGAACCGCTGTATAATAACAGACAAGCCACTGCATTTCTCTATTCCTTAGTTTCTACAGCAGCAAGATGAGGATGATGCTGATGCGAGCACGGGCATCAATACGTGAATGTCTTAACCTCTTTTCTTGAGAGAATTCTTTCTGCTGTTACCCTGGGAAACGGGACCTCCCAGAGCTCCTATTCTTCACCAGTCACCTGCTACCATAACTGACCTTCTCCTTCTGGTGTGAAAACAGTATGGGGACCCTTGATTCTTACTTGTGAGTTCTATACAGGTTCATATGTGGTGATGTTAAAACTCTTTGTAGGACAGACACAGTGTTGATTGAGAGTCTCATGGCCTGCCTGGATCTATGAGTGTGTATAGCATTCGGTTCCCTTCATTCATATGTTTCCACCACTGGCTGATTCCTCCTTTTCCCTCTTTTTCATTCCTGGACTTGTAGGATCACCAACCCTTTGCAAATGCCCACGATGTACTAGCCCGATCCCGCAGCCGGGCTAACGTGCTCAACAAAGTGGAATATGCGCAGCAGCGTTGGAAGCTTCAAGTACAAGAGCAGAGGAAATCTGTGTTTGACCGGCATGTGGTCCTCAGTTAATCAGGAACCCAGTGCCAAGGTGACTGGAAGGGAGGAAGGAAGTGGGCTGCGGGAAAAACTGCTCATGTCTTCCTGATTTTTTAAACCACTGCTGAGAGATTTCACCAAACTTGTTGGATAGTTCAAAACTGGAAGCAGAAAAAAAGCTTTTTTTAATTTAAAAAATAAAAAGTATTAACTGGAAAATGTTAAAAGCACATGTCTCAGAAGCCAAAAAGCCACAAACAGTTCTTTCTGGCTTTTTCTAATGAAGCTAAATCTACCTATGAATTATCTTGAGATTCTTTCTCTCTGGCAAACATTCATTTCTTTCTGCATTCTTCCTTACCGTAATTCTAACATATTTTTCAAGACAACTTTCACACTCTTCGTGTTTAGGGGGAGGGAAACACAACTTTCACAAGACACTTTATTCCATGGACTTTTGTAAATAGATGTTTCCTATTGTATTTTTGTGCTTGGCCTCATTTTCAGTGGAGTCAGCTTCTGCTGGAAATGCTGACTTGCTCAGTTGATTTTTAGCACTGATAGTGTCCTAAGCAGATGATTGGCTCTTGGCAACACTTAGTACATCGACTGTGAAATATTACTGACAGAAATGCAGATTAACTTCGGTACTGTGATGTAGATAAAACTCTCCAGTCTCATGCAGAGCCTTCTGGTTTGGAATGGCGCTTTGCTAGGTTTCTCAGTGACTGAACAAATGGTGTTGGTGTATGTGGTCCTTCTTAACCTCTTCTCATGGCCTTAGGGATAAGCCTCAAGATGTGGAAACCATGTGATAAAGAAACCCATCTCTAATGTTAAGCCTATCTGAATTGGTGGCTTACATACATTCTTCAGCATTTCCAGTCATCCTAAAAGGTGGCTGGTGGGCTTTGATATGTATGTCTCTAAACTGTAACTAAGGTCCTGGACTCCACACTTTGAGAGCTGTAACAGTTATTAGATAACTGGCTCTTTACTTTCTACATCCTCTTTGGAATGTAACAATAAAAATTAATTTTTGAAAAACCCACCAGTGTCCTTGACTTATAGTTCCCTTTCTTTCCCTGTTCCTAATTATGAAGTTTGTATAAAAAAAGGAAATTCAACTCAGCATAAAGAAGAATATTCTCAAGGGGGAGAAAAATTTTAAACTCAGAAGTTTGTGGAAGTGATTGTTGATAACTCAAAATAAATTAATAAAAATTAAAAAAAAAAAGAATGTTCTCACAATTAGAACTATCCAAGAATAGAATCAACTGCTTTGATACTGGATAGATTCCCTCTCCCTGAGAAAGGTCAGGCCAAGTCAGGAAGACTTTGTCATGAATGTTCTAAAGGGGATTTGGAATGGGCACTTTTTAATGGTCAGTATGATCACGTATTGTCTAACAGTATCAAATGTAAAATGATTTTAGTTTAGACCATGGATCTAAACATTGGTCATAAGAAGTGGAGTCTAAAATGCTAACATAAAAAGCCATTATGCCCCGAAATATACAGCTTTAACTCAGTAGAGTAAAACATCCCTGTTGTGAATGTAATGTTCCTTGCATAGCCTGTGGCTCAGAACTGCTCCGGACTCTCATGGCCTAAGGATTGGCCCAGGTGCCAAGAACTGAATTTGGTTTATTTAACATACTCCACTAGGGGGGTTCCATTCCCCAGCAAGCATCAGGCTAGCAATAAATATTTAAATAAAGAACAGGTTTATTAAAAGTCACTCAAAGAACAGAAAACCTATTTTGTGTCCAAGTCTGGTTAACAAAGAAATAATTATAAACCACCTTCTGATGAATGCCATTGTCTTCTTTTCCCTGACCTCTCTACCACCACCCTGGAAGTTTAATTGCAATTTCCACAAAATTCAAGGAACAAGCTAGTCAAGTCCCTGCCCCCGTGTACAGACCACAGAGTGGGTCTGTCCGTTGTCAGCTGACCTGCTTCTCTCAAATTGGTGCTTTCTATAGAGATTACTTTGGCATACTCTCTGTACCCCAGCTTCCAACTGTTCCTGCCATCTCTCAGGAGTCAAACTGTTGTCCTGGCTCCCCAAACTCTTAACCTGTGTTCTCCCAGCAGCCATAGCTGGCCTGGTTCTGCACGAACCTTGGAGGTCCTATCCTGTTTTTTCTCTGCCTTATGCATGTGACATCCGTAGGAGATGGCCACTTGGCTCTCCTAAGAGCCTCTCGGATCAGCCCACAGAAAAGCTGTTCACTTCCTTTTGGGCCTATCCACTACAGTGATTTCTAATCTAGTAATTTCCAAGTTCTTGGTTAGGGAGTCAGTACAGGATTTAACTAGGAGTCCAGAGAGCTAGGTTCTAGTCCAGTCAACATAATCTTAAGTCATTTCACCTTTTTAGGCCTCAGTTTTCCTCTTCTGTAAAATGAGGGATTTGGAATAGACAGTCACTAAGCATCCTTTCTGCTCTGAAGTTGTATGATTACCTTCCACACGTCAAAAATTTTTTCTTTAAATCTAGATTAAAAAATATTTCAGTTGATGGGAACTGTACTTCTGAAGAAAAGCAAATTCTGGAGAGTGACTTGATTGTGTTGATTGCTATTTGAGATGGAAATCCAATGTTTTTTCAAGTGAACCTTGATTTTTAGTCATAGTATTTGGTGTCATACCTGCATAGTGGGTGGGAAAAGGCCAAACAAGAGCTGCACAGATCTGTTTAACCATAAGCTACTTTGCATATTGTCACCAATAGTCTATAAATCTGACAGGTCTGGCTTGGCTGAACATACAACATTTTGATCACAAAACTCAGGTAAGAGCTCTTCTTCAAAGATCTAGCCACTATCAGTGTTAGGAGAACTTAGTTCAAAAAGAATTCCTGGGCAAAATGTGTGTCACTTGAATTTTGTCTTAGGTCCTAGTACCATGATGTCTTTAAATTTTAATGATTATTGCAGGATTGAATTTTACCCATTTGATAAGGCTGAAGGTTCCTAAATTTGCTGTAATAATTAGCACTTCTGTAATGGTGTAGCACAGTTTCTCTGTGCTAGATTGTATTGTCTGACAAATTATATTTATTTCAATTAAAGTTTAGTTATTCAGGTTATAGCAAGGAATCTTTTGAGTTTTTATAATTATCAATCCTCTTAGTTCTCCTAGGAAAGAAAGAAATAGCCAGTTTTGTCTCTTCTCAATCTCTTTTACAGATAGAGAGATTGGGACAAACTTGTCTGAGATCCCCTTTAGTTTTGTCCATGAAACTCGGAAGGCTGCCTGTCAGCCTAGGGTACTAGCCAGCACGATATTTGATTTTTGTTAAGACTTCTTCTCCATTGATGTTTGTTTCTAATTCTTATTTCCTGCTACAAGTTCTCCTGCAACCACAATCAATTATTTTGTAATTCTCTTTCTTTGAATATTATCATCTGGGTGCTTATAATTAAGGAAATATCCGACTATAAGGAGCTTCCTAGTGGGTGTTCTGACAACACCTGAGTTTTTTTCTTTAATACACTTTGGATAACTTTTATTTTTATGTCACAGAATTTCTTCCAGTGTCCTTCTTGAGTTATTTGTCAAAAGAATTATGTTTCTCTTATTACAACCAATTTTTAATTACCAATCACACAGATTTCATCTGGGTCAAATTTTAAAGATAATTTTATTAGTCTTTTATAAGGGGAAAGCTCTTTTCCCAAACTAAATAATAATTAGCAAGGTTATTAGTTGTTGGGTTTTTTCTTTTTTTTAAATGTTCACTTCAGTAGACTTCCTCAGGCTTTGGTTTGGGCCACAGGTCAGAATTTTTAGGCTAGTTTTCTGGTTGCTTATCCACTTTCCAAAACTGAGAATTCATCAGCAGAGTATTTTCAGGAATGATTCTAGCCGTTTCTTTTGCCTCTTAGAGTATGCACATAATCCAGTGACGTCCGCTGGAGTTGTTTACAACCTGGGTGACCTTGGACAGATCCCTCATACTTCTCTGAGCCTTAGTTTCCTCATCTGTAAAATGAGGGGGCTGTACTAGAAGAGCTCTGAGATAGCTTTAAATGCTAAATCTATAACTGAATCCTGAGGTAGTGATGAATTGCCCTTTTTTTTGACCCTAGGCAAGTTATTTTACTTTGAGACATGGTTTCTCCATCTGTAAAATGGGCAACAACCTGACTCATTAGGTGTTTGTGGGGAGAGCACTTTGTAAACTTTTCTAAAGCTCCATGTAAGTGGGAGCTGTTTATCCAGAACTTCTATCTTGGCAATTTTCTGACCGCTTAATCCAGAAGCTTTCTCCCTGATCTTGTTCTCCCTTCCCTGCCATCCCCCTCTTTTCTCTCCATGGCTAGTTTCTAGTCTTCCAAAGGTAAAGTTGTTTCTTTGGAGTATGGGGGGAGCCACACTAAGGGTTCGTGGCTTGTTAGGTCATTCTAGACTCTTTGACCTTCAGTGTGCTGCTGCGCTTTAACTGGGCTTGTGTATGATGAAATCAGCCCTGAGATTAAGAAGAGCCCTTTCCCAGCATTTACATACTTTGAAGTTTCTGTTTACCTTCCAGACTTACTTCTCCTTACTTCCCCTTTCTCCTTTACTCAGTGTTCCCGCCAAGCTGGTTGCTTTCCCAAGTTGGCATTCCTTCTCCTGACTTTGGTCAACTCCACCTTGTGGCATCCTCGCTCAGGTGCCACCTCTTACAGGCAGCCTTCCCGATTCCCTAGTTGTTAGCAGTGCTCCTCAGTCCTCAAAGGATACCATATTTATTCATCTGTCTGTATGTCCTGTCCCACCGGTAGATGTCAGATCCTTGAAGGCAGGGACTTTGTCAAGCATACCTGGCAGGCACATCGATGTGTATTGATTCGAATTACTCCTTAGCTTCTGACTGGTCCTCCCTTTTCTTCTGTCCCTATTTAAGAAGCTAGATTGAGTGTACTTTAATTAGGCATTTTCAGGGGAATCAGAGCATCATTTCTCCTACTTTAACTATAGTGATTAATTCATTCAGCAAGCATGTATTAAGGGCCTGTCATGTGCCAGGTACCATGCTGGGCAGTAGGCATACAAAGACAGAAGTGAAACAGTCCCCTCCCTCAGGGGGCTTTGGGAAATAAAATAGACACATGTAAGTAAATACAGACGTGTGTGTGTGTGTGTGTGTGTGTGTGTGTGTGTGTGTGTGTGTGTGTAGGTGTGTGTGTAAATCCCCTACACCAATACCCTTCTGCAGCTGCTTAGCACCTTATAAATGCAGACAGCTGCCTGGAACAGAGAACCTAGAGTCAGCCAGCCAATCAGTCAGAACTTGAACCCAAATCTTCCTGACTCCAGGGCTAGCTCTCTGTGCACCATACCATGCTGCCCTCAAAAATTTTAAATATATACAAAGTAAATACAAACCATCTTCTAGGGGTGGGGAGTGGGCTTCCTGTTGGAGGTGGTGTTTGAGCTGAGCCTTGAAAGTAGCTAGGGATTCTCAGAGGGGAATGAACAACTAGGGAACTCACTAGAAACTCTGTGATCCTTTTCTCCTGCAGGTTTGTTTTATAGATTCACAGGGAAGTATCTATGTTGTTTTTTCATTCCTCCTTTTCTAACAAAGTGCATAACTTTGCTAGCTAATGATCTTTTAAAAAATAAGTTGTCATGCACCCAACTTTAAACAGAAAAACCAATTAACCATACAGGTATAGCTCTTCTCATTTTAAAATGAGTTTTTTACATATAACACATCTGTAACAACTTCTTAGATATTCCTTTTGGGTCACTATCGTTCTCTTTCTGTCCGTTCATATTTGTATTTATTTCTCCAGTTTTCTTTTTAAGCAGCTGATCTCAGAAGTCGTGGGTTCTAGTCCATGCTTTTGACACTCACTGAATGTGTGACTGAGCACACCTCCAGCTCTGAGCTAACTGTCTAAGACTCTATTGCAGAAAAAGTGCTCCTCTGCATCTGTAGAGAAGTCTTCACTGGGTGTTTCCTACACAAAGGACTGGCTAAAAGAAAACATTCTTCTCATTTTGTATAATTAAGGTAAGTCTAGTTCTGGCTCTGCTTTCTTTGCTTTATATCGCCTCACCTAAGCTTTTCCAAACGTTTTTTATTCCTCATGTTTATCATTATAATAGCCCTGTATGCCACTGCCCTGACATTCAGTAGTTTATTTGATACTTAATGAGCTCTTACAGCAAATGCGTTCTTTTTTTTTTCCAAATGTATTCTTGATAGATTTTTTTGATGCCTCATTTAGACATTAAAGAAAATAAAAACATTTTCCCATGGAAAGCTCTTGGCAGAGGAGTGGCCCTGGTGCAGCATCTGTTGAGTTGTATAAAAAGGCTTAGGTTGGGAAGATGAACCTGGATAGCAGTATATATGAACAAGACCTGGGTTTTTTAGAATAATATAGCACATGGATAGCTTGATACAGTGGACAGAGCACCAACTTTGGGGTTCCAATTTGGCCTTTGACATACTTGAACAGTGTAAGCACAGAGAAGTCTCCTGCCCTCTTAGTGCCTTTAGCAACTCTCTAAGAATTTAAGTTACAGATGAAAAATAAACACTGATGAAATCACAGATCAAGACCAAATAAATAGTCGTTTCCAACCTCTAGACAAATTTAGACTTGATGTCAGGAAAAATTTCCCTATAATTAGAACGATGAGTAGAATAGGCTGTTTCAGAAGGTGGAGGGTTCTGGAGGCTGGTCCTAAGAGTTAGGATGTACAGAACATGTTGCGTTCGTGTTCACTTATGGGTGGAGCTAGGAAGACCTTTAAAGCTTCTTCCAACTCAGAAATTTTGTATGCTGGCAGAATGTTGTGGCAATATACAGTAATCTGATGCTTACAGACTCATCCAGAAAGCAGTAACGTGCCAAACCACATCTCTGAGACAGGACACTTGTGCCTTTGTTATTAATGAGGGGAGTACCAGATATGGGTGTACTTTATCTAACAGCTTGTGTGTCAGGTTGTATATAAGTAGCATTTTTGTAAGTCAATACTTGTAAAAATCCTATGGTAATCTACCTTCTAATTTTTCAGTTTGAATTCTAATTTTTCACTTACTAGAGTTAGATCAGTCACACTATGCTTATAGATTCTGCATAGTTTTTAACTGCTTCTTTATTTCTCTGACAGATAATGTCATACACCATCTAGTTTTCAATGATAAGAAGCAATACTGAGCAGCCCACGTAACAGAAATACCTTAAGAAGACAAGTCTTTTTGGGTGACATCAGAAGAAGCATAGTGTAGTGAAAAGAACACAGGGCTAGAGCCAGAAGACCTCTTACTGTAAAGTGGGTTATCATTATTATCATATGTTATTTATGTTGACATGTTGTTGGATGAATTAATACATTTGTTTGCACCTCCAGGTTACAAAGAGAATAATGGATAACAAAAACTACTGTAATCTGACAGACAAATTGTCCCCCTTTAGTGACTCTCCCCATATGCAGCTGACTCGGTCCTTCTACCTGGACCCTGTTGTCACTTTCCACCTATATCCAGAAGCCCCTGCCCCATCCCCTTATTCTGAAGACCTGCCAGTTCTCCCTTTTGCAACTGATCAGCTAATTGTGGAAAACTTTGGAGATCCTGGCTCCTTCCCTTTTCAAATGCCATATCCCTCTTATGGAAGATGTGAATACTCCTATGGTCCAGCGTTCATCAGAAAAAGAAATGAAAGGGAAAGGCAGAGAGTCAAGTGTGTCAACGAAGGCTATGCCCAGCTTCGTCATCACCTACCAGAGGAATACCTGGAGAAGCGACTTAGTAAAGTCGAAACCCTCCGAGCCGCCATCAAGTACATTAATTACCTGCAGTCTCTTCTTTACAGAGATGAAATGGAAAGCAAGAATAAGCCAGGGAAAAGTCAGGCCATCGTGACAACTACCAGCCACCAGATGGACCCCATTTTTAAAATTGTGTAAGTAGGGCCAAGGTCCAAAGAAGGAGTTTTCTAAGGGTACAGTGTTTACAGAATCATACCATGTCTCTTACCAAGCTTTAGTTTTGTTGTTAGAATCCTATCACCAGAAGCAACCTTAGAGGTTCAATCACCTGTCTGAATCCTGCTCTATAAATGATGCCTGGTAAGGGGTCACAAAGCCTTTGCTTCTCTCAATTACTATGAATGGCACTTGATCCAGTATTCATAACTTCTGAGCTAGCCTGGCACTGGGTAGTGATTAGCTCTATGCAGCGTGTTTGAAAATGTGTCTTGAGTACTACCATGGGCCAATGAGTTGGAGCTTTGAATAGTGGTTTTTGGAATTTTAGGAAGGCACCAGTAGGTACTAGTGCCTTTCAGGCATCTAATTTCTCATATATGTATTTATGTCTCTGTCTTCTTCTAGCTTCCCATGGGTTATTATTTCACAGATTTTTTTTTTAATGTGGAAGGAGAAGATTTTAATTCGTTTATTGAGGGCTTACTATGTGAGGATACAGGTCTGGGAGCTGAGGGAGATACAAAGTTGGTAAGACTTGGGACTCTGATCCCACAGACAAATCACCTGTCTTCCTGACACTTCCCCCTAGGAGGGGAATGTACATGTCAATAATTATAATAGAAATAATACAAGCTAAGTGCATTAGAGAGGTGCAAAATGAAGTTGTTATGTGATGTTCCAAAGGGCAGGAAGGGTTGTTACAGGCTAGGGAGAATCTGAGAAGGCTGCCCAGAGAAGACTTTTAATTTGGACTTTAGAGCCTGGTTAGGAGTTTGACAAATGAAATAGTACATTTCCCAGCAATCTTGTGAGATCAAATTGGAAAAATACCTCAGGAGTAGTGGAACAATGACCCAGGACAAAGAGTAGCCCAGGTAGGCTGGAGCAGAAAGTTCGCAGCAAGAAATAGGATGAGATGAGGCTGGAAAGGTAGGGTGGCCTCAGCTTCAAGTCAGTTCAGCAAACATTGACTTTCTGCTCTTCAAGGCACTGCGTTAGGTGCTGGGGATGCAAAGACAGAAATGGAAAACGGTCCCTGTCCTAAGGAGATCATTTTTGACTAGGGATATAACCTATAAACATAGAAAAAGTAAATACAAGATAATTTGAGGAGGGTGCCAGACACTAGGAAGATCAGGAAAGGTTTCATGTAAAGAGGTCGTTCCTGAGGAAGCTAAGGAAGCTTTGGAGGAAGCTAAGGATTCTGAAAAGTGCAAATGAGAGCCTTGAATGCCAAGTAAAGAAAAGAGTTTGGACTTCTTTTATCCTGTAGGCAGTAGAGAGCCAGCCACTGAAGATTTTTGAGTATAGACGTGAGGGTGGACATGATCATATCTATCTATAAGAAAGTTTCTTCCACCAGTGAGGAATGAAAAAAGAACTGTTAAAAAGCCATTATAATAATCCAGGCCTCTTGTAACAAGTACCTATACTAGGTGGTAACAATGGGAATAGAGAGGAGGGGATAAATGCTGGAGGCATTACAGCGGTAGAGTCTACAGGTTGTTGCCCTCACCTTGTCTTTTCAGGAGTTTGATCACTCAAATTGTCAGATACTTTAAAGATATCCTATAACAACCAACCAAAATGAACTTTTTGATTTTTTCTTTTAGTGTTTTTTTTCTTACATGTAGACAGCTTTTTAAGTCTGTAGTTCTTATTACTGAGTAGTAAGCAGGAATTTGAACCTTATAAACCGCCATCATAAGAGAAGCCAAAAAATTAGCTGAGGGAGAAAAGTGGTAAATAAAGTTAGAGTAATTTAAAAGATCCTGCTACATTCAAAATGATTATAAATGCAACAGATCTAAAAAAACCTTCTTCTAGTCTCCTGTTAACAGGTTCCTTCTTCCCACTGCTTTCTCAGTGATACCATTGAGTGGTACCACTGATTCCATATTATTCCCTAGTTATTTCTCCCTTGGGGTTTTTTTTTTTTGGAGGGGGGAGGTTCATTGTTTTATGTCAAATGCTTTGCAGTGTGTTGTATTTGTGTCTTGAATAGTCAATGAAAAGAGTATTCTACTGGTAGGGGCTCAGACCTGATTTATATAATTGATTACTTCCAGATAACCCACACTGAACATGGGACTCCAAGCCATAGTTTTCATGGAAGACTTAAGAGGACACTTGTTACACCTAAACCCATTTAACACAGACATTTTGTTCCACTTGATTTAGCCCTAGGTTATCTTTGGTCACGTTTGCTGTCTATTTCCTAAGTAGTGGTCTTGCTTTCCCAGCTACATAAACTGAAAGCAGAGATTATATCTTCCTTCTCATGGATTGCTCAAGGAGCTTTCACACTACTGGACACATGGCAGATCTTCAACTATTATGACATAAGAAAATGTTTTCTCAGGAGATGATTTTTCTTGGTAGTATTAATAAGCAAAATTATTCTTTTCCTTTTCCAACTGTATGGTTGAATAAAGTTTTTATTAAATTGATGCTTTTGTTTTTTTCTTTTTCCATAACCACCTAGAGCAGGGGTGGGGAACCTTTGGCCTCAGGGCTACATGTGGCCTTCTGAGTCCTTGGGTATAGCTTTGAGTGATAGAAAGATTTTACTTTTATCAGGCCTAAATCTATCTCTTTCACCTTCTAGTTCTGCTCTCTCTGGATAGGAAGAATCGGTCTACTCTCTTTTCCATTTAATAAGATTATTTTTAAAACATAGATTTTGGTAATCTTTTACTTTTGCATTACCTGGATTTCCCCTGTATCCTTTCCTCCCTTTGAGAGTCATCCCTTATAACAATTTTTTTTTAAACTGGAAGGAAAATGATTCTGCAAAATTGATCAAAATATTTTTACACATCTGACTACATGCAATGTATCACACCTGTGGACCTCCCACCTCTTCAGAGGAGTAAGAGGAGTTGTCTTCTCGAATTTCTTCTTTGAGACCAAGCTTTTGTTCTTTCTAGTTTTGCAGCATTCACTTTTGATTGTTTAGTAGTGGTTCTTTCCATTTACATTGTTGTCATCATGTATGTTGTTTTTCTGGTTCTGCTTTTTGTTCTGTATTCATATTTGTCATTTCGTACAGCTTAGTAATATTCCATTATATTCATGCACCACAGTGTTTTTAGCCACTCACTGACTGATGAGCATCTACTTTGTTTTCCAGTTCTTTACTAGCATGAAAGATTCCACTATAAATGTTTGGTGTATATGGGGATTTTCATTTGACAGACTTTGATACTTTTTTTAAAAAAATGTGTTCCTCCTAAATCTATTCTCCAGGCTTAAAACATCCTCAGGGCCTCTTCAAGTGATTCTCAGATTATATAGTTTCTAGTTTCTTCACCATCCTGGTAACCCTCTTCTTGTCACAGTCTGGTTTAATGTGCTAGAACTGAACGTAGTATTCCACCTGTGATCTGATTTGGGAAAGATGGGAGAGGAAGGTGTTTACCTCTAGCGTGTTTAACCCAGTGGACACACCTGTTTTCCTTAGAGAAGTTCTTCTGTTTCTCGTAGACCAACATACCACAGCTCCTCTGGTTACTGTGTTTTTCAGCAACAGACAAGAAGAGAGCCCTGGCTATCGATACTAACAGGGAACCAACACACCGCTTAATCTGAGGCTTGGCTCAGAGCTTCGTCTCTACTGGGGTTAAGGGTCAGTCAGTGGTGGAGGATACAGGTGGTAACTCTTGAAGAAAGGTGCAAGATTAGTCTTTCCCTTTAAAGTTGTGGGGGAATCATCTCTCTAGGCCCCCAAGTCAAACAGAAGGGGGAAATATACCTTGGCTATATGAATGGGAGCTCAGCATTGGGCTGGGGAAAGGGCAATGATTTGGTGCCAGAGGACCTTGTTGTGCTTGGAGTCAGGAAGACCTGGCTTCAAATTTGGCCTGAGATGCTAGCTGTGTGACCCTGGGCAAGTCACTTAGCCCTGTTTACCCGTTTCCTCATCTGTAAAATGAGCTGGAGAAGGAAATGGCAAATCACTCCAGTATCTTTGCGAAGGAAACCCACGGACAGTATAGGCATGATATTGTGTACAGTGTCACTGAACGACAACCACCTTTAACCTCTGAGCTTCTGTAAACTAAGGGGACTGGGCTAAGTGATCTCTGCGGTCCCCTCCAGCTTTAAAAGTATGTCAATGTGTCATCTGTGGAGTGACTGAGAAACCTTCACCAGTCCCCTTCATTTCTTCCTATTTACTGTGTCCATTCCTTCCTTCCCGGGGGTGGGCGTCCTGCGGGTCCTGTTCTTTCTGCAGAAGCCTGCTTAGCCCCGCCCTATCCAGCTGCTGCCGCGCTCCCATTGGCCGAAGCTTCAAGTTCGCACATGCTCAGAGGCTCTTCAGAAAGAGCATTCCAGCTGGCCAAGTTTCCATGACAACCCGCCTAGCAACCAAATGCCGTTAAAGTTGGCGTGGGCAGGGGTAGCCAGGAGGATGAAGGTTGCTGCGCAGAGACGAGGTAGGTCGCCGCTGCTGCTGAGTTTAGGGGAACCCTGGACCCCTCAGGGCCGGACCAGAGTCGGGAGAGAAGACCGAGGGTCCTCAGAGGGTCAGGTCAAAACTTGGAATTCCAGGACCTGGGAGTAAATTCAGATTTGGGGAGGGGACAGACAGACAGAGGCGGGGGCTGGCATTGTCTCTTGAGCCAGGGGATGGGAGTCAGGTAATGGCTGGGGTTAGGGGTCCCTGAGACACTAGGGATAGAGAATTAGTCAGAGCTCTATTTGGGGCAGGTCATAGTGTCCCAAGTGTATGGGGTCTCGAGGCCAGGTGGTATAACAGTCCCAACTGAGGGCAGTTATTGCTGGGGAACACTGCCTAAGAAGAGGGGTAGGTGTATGTTGGCATCATGGGGGGTTATTTCCTTCCCAAGCTGGTACCCACCCCTTCAGATGCCTCTACTAGATCCTTGCTGCAGGCTCCCTTTGGGGAAGAATCTAATTCCCTTCAACATTGATACCTGAGGCAACACGTTTTGCCATATGCTGGTTGTGGCTCAGACATGTATTTGGGGTTCAGTCAATGAGCAGAGCTAGGTCTCAACCTAGGGCCAGGGTCAGAGCTCAGGCTCAGGCTGGGGACAGTGTTAAGCTTCAGACTGGGACTACTAATGTTAAGATTCAGTCTGGGACATAATGTGCTATTGGGGCTCAGTCTATGGTGTGGTCAGGGGTCATAGGATCATAGATCTGGGGCTGAAAAGGGCCTGAGAGGTCACCTAGTCCAAACCCCCCACGAAGGTCCACCCAGAGGAGGCAAGTGACTTTTCCTAGGAGACACAGGTAGTGAGGAACATTCAAATCTAGGGTCTTTGACTCCCAAGTGCACCCCTCTTTTCACTGCACTGGGCTGCCTTCCATCTTGGCCAGGTCTGGGAATCAGTCCGAGCTTAGGACTTAGAGGACATGTAGGCTGCCCTTGGAGTGGGGATAGTGCCAACTTGAGGCACAACCCCCATAGGTCTCTTTAGGAGGGGTGAGCCACATTCTGAGGTCGCTAGTCAAGAAAGGGAATTTTCAGCAACAAAGGAGTTCAGTGGGGCTTAATATACCAAAGAAGCACTCAAAACCACCATTCTGTCACTTCTAGTGTCTCTCACTAGGTCAATAAATTGAATACTTGGATAGATAGAGGGCTAGATTTGGAGTCAGAAAGTCCTGGGTTTGAATCCTAAGACACTCGGTGACTCTGGGCAAGTCACTTACCTTCCCTCAGCCTGTTTCCTCATCTGTAAAACAGAACTAATAATAGCACCTCCCAAGGCTGTTGTGGAGAGCAAAAGGGTTAATGTATGTAAAGCATTTTTGCCAACTTTAAAGCACTATGTAAACTTTAGCTCTTATTCTATTTTTAAGTTGGCCTTAGAGCTAGAATCCATATCAATGAGCCAGGCAGAGGAGTTGAATCAGCTGTCCCTCTCTTCTGGGCCTCAAACAACGGCAGGTTGTTATGATGACGGTTGTCCTCAGGGTGGCTAACAGCTTTGATTTCAGTTGATAATAAAAGTGTCTGCCACCAGGGATCCATTGATGGCACTTGCTCCTAGGCAGTATCACTGAAGGAGATGGAATCCTTAGCAGGGCCCTGGATGCCTTCACTTAAGTACTGCAGTGTGAGCACAGCCCAGAAGAGTCCCTGCTGTGTCAATGCCTCTGCTCTCTGGAACGCCCCCTCCACCTGTCCTCATGTACTCCAGGTTCCCTGTTTTATCCGACATCCCTCTGCTGCAAGGTACCGTCCTCTTCAGGCAATGGTAGGAGTCTCTGCTCCTGGCTGGGGGTCCCCTATGACAATAAGCACATTTAAATAGAGCACTTCACAGGTTACAAAGTGCTTTCATTCACAACAAACCTCTGAGGGAGATAGTACAATTCCTATTATTATCTCAGTTTTACAAGGAGCAAACAGGTGCAGACATGTGAGCTGTGCCTCAGTTTCCTCATCTGTAAAATGACCTGAAGAAGGAAATGGCAAACCACTCCAATATGTCTGCCAAGAAAACACCAAATGGAATCAGAGTTGGACATGACTGAAAAATGGGGTCTTATTTCTCCTCCAGTTTCTTTCCCTCCAAAGAGTCCCTAGGATCCCAATTCTTTTCTCTTTGTTTTAGTTTATTATTTTACTACAATGTGAGGGGATCTTGGGGATTTGAAATACTCAGCTTGCACAGTTTCACATGCAGATCAGGCTTTTATGGTTTGTGATTCCCCTTCCTAGTCCACCCTTCCATCCACTCTGCAGGTCAAGATCAGAGTTATTTTTCTTAGCTCTTTGAATTACTTAAGAAGCAAGGTTCTTTTTCTCTGAGACTCTTAAGGCTGTCCCTCAGCCATAGATTGAACTGCTTACCTCACAGCTGTATGAATCACAGCCCAGAGACTTCTTTGAGCCATCACTATAAAATTTTCCTTAAGTAGCCTGTAATTTTACTGTACTAACATATTACTGACCATCCTCTAAAGCATCATTACACTTTCTGAATACACCTTTTCTCTAAAGAAAACCCTAAAGTTTCTTCATAATTGCACCGTGTCAACACCACCATCCATTAAATCCACTTCTTTCGTATTGGATCCACACACCACAGTTGAAAGAACTGCCTTTCCCTCTGACACTTACTTTCCGACTTTTTACTTCTTCTTAGTACTAAATCCTAATATGTCTAAACCCAATTGCACTTTATTAGTTATACCTAAGTTAGACTGGGGCTACTTTCAGTAGGATTTTTTCACATGGGTGTTGACATCAGATCACTCCTGTATATTTATGTATGTAGACATCTATGTGTACATCGTTGCTGTAACTTTGTTCTTTCAATGTGTTCTTCGCATGTCTGGAGTCTGACTTTTCTCTGCCATTCCAATCACAATTGCTTTTTCCTAGGTGTACCTGGGGTTGGCCAGATCTGTACAGGACTGACCTACAAGGGAAGGGGCCAGGCCTACTGGAGCGACCGGAGGATGGTGACGCATCAGTCCTTGCCAGAAGGGAATCAGATGGCTTTTACTACAGGGCTCGGATAAAAAAAACACCAGAGGCAAGTCCCTATACCCTCCCAAGGCCTCTTCAGAGCTTCTGCTTAGCTGCCACAGAAAATAGTAATGAAATGGGCTAGAACAGCATTAAGTACCCTATTTGCTTAGCTGTTGGTGGAAGCTGGCTACCTCCAAGGTTTAAGAGTGAAGATGTCAGGGGAAGCTAGATGGTGCAGTGGATAGAGCATTGGCCCTGGAGTCTGGAGGACCTGCGATCAAATCTGGCCTCAAACACTTGATACTAGCTGTATGACCCTAGGCAAGTCACTTAACCCCATTGCCTAGCCAAAAAACAAAACAAACAAACAAAAAAAAGAGTGAAGATGTCAGTGGTCATACCTTGAATTTGGAATATTAGTCATGAAAAGTATACTACTCAGAAACACGTGGTGGTGGGCCTATCCCATGGAAAGAGGAACTCATAGTAATGCCGTAATGCATACAGATGCATAGGGCCTTATATTTATTTTCTTCTTTAATCTTCAGATTAACTTGGTAAGGGAACAGAGTGAGGGTATGCCCATTTTACAGATTAGGAGTGGAGGGTCACAAAGGGAAAAAAGACTTCTCCAAGACCACACAGCTAGTGAATTACTGGGGGCAGGACTCAGACCCAGGACTTCACATTCCTAGTTTACAGTCCTCTCCATTATACTATCTGTACACAAAAACACTCATAAAGGCAAATTCCATCACAGGGAGCCAAGGTGCTCTACATGAACATGAAGAATGGTTTGTTTTGTTTTTTCTCCAAGATGATCAAATCCTGAATACTAGTTTAGACTAATGAGAATAAACTTGTTCCAAAATAAAAAAAAGTTTGAATTATAAATTATTTTAAAGTAGAATGTAGTTTTATTATTCTCTAAAAATGAATATGTAGCAGTAATTATAATGCTAATGAAGCAGTTTCAGATCTTCTAATCATTATATTAGTCTTTTAAAACTAGCACAAGACCTTTCACATCTTTTTTTCTATACTTTTTTTTTATTGATATATTTTAACAAAGGCTAATATCAAGTTACAAACAAATCACAAAATATGCATCACTTCCCCCAGAAGCATTTAGGTAAAAAAGCACAAGAGTAATTGTTGACTCAGCACCCCACACTTCTTTAATTTACTGTTTGATAAAGCATGCAACCTTCCATTTTTAAAAGTTTAATAAGGAAGAACCAGCAACATTTACTGTATTTGTTTTGTGTTTTGTAGACAGTTCATGTTGTAGTCAGGGGAATATTGTGTGTGTGGATCAGCTCTCTTCACCCAGTAGCGCTTCATATGGTTTCCCATCTTTCTTTGGCTTTTTGACATTTCATAGTTTTTAGGGCGCAATGAGGTTCCATTACTACCAAACTAGCACAATCTAGCCAGCCATTCACCATTCACTGAGCGCATCATTTGTTTACAGCTTTTTGCTATTGCAAATAAATATAGAGATTGCCTAGGCAACACCTTCATTCTACATATGAGGAAACTGATACCCAGTGACACAAGCAGCTGGCTCAGATTCACACACGGGAGAGGAAGGCTTGAGGCCAGGTGGTCCTCCAGCACTCTTGTCCCATAGCCACTCAGATTGAAATGGCATTTTATGGTTTCTAAAGCTCTTTCTTCATAACCACTCTATGAGGTAGGTAATTCAACTCGAATTGTCCCCATTTTATAGAGAGCAAAACTGAGACTCAGAGAAATAGTGATTTGCTAGTGTCAGAGCCAGAATCTGAGCTGGTACCAAGCTACCCAAGTCCCTGTGACCCAGAAGTCCTTGGTCCCTAGTGCAGAATGCTTACTGTGTGCCCAGGCATGTCCTAGGCGTGTGTGTTTAGGGGGTGACGGTGGGCAGATTGCTTCATGCAGAGACCCGAATGGCTTGTGTGTGTCGAGGGGAGAGATAGGAGACGTGGATGCTACCGGTTGTCTTAAATCACAGGTTGGAGAAAAGAGTGAAGAAGCTAGAGAGAAAAGGAAAAGGACAGACAGTGAAAAGAAAGGTGTATACCTAGAGGACCACCTACAACTGCATGGTCCCAAGGCTGTTTCTTCTGCTAGGTTAGCTAAGTTCTGGACAGGGCAGGAATGTTTCTGCATGCCTTCCCAGGAAGCAGAGTCCTGGTCCTGGGCTCCAGGGCCTGTGGGATTCCTAGTACCATTTCTCATTTTGATTTCTCCCCTGCAGCTGGGGAGGCAGGGCAAACTCTTTGTGGAGTTTGAGGCCCCCCATTCCACAGGTCCAAAATCCTCAGGCCCACTACAGAGCACAGCACTAGAGGATGTCATCCAGCATTCAAGGGCCTTAGAGCACTCCCTACTCCCTGGAGACAAGGTTCTGGCACCCTGGGAACCAAAGCAGGAGAGATATGGGCCAGGCACTGTGATGCAAGGCCTGGAGACCAGAGACCCTCAGAGAGGTAAGGGGAGCAGCCTCCCTCCTATCACTGGGACACCAGGGATGAAAAGGAGACCTGGGTGACCTGGCCCGAGGAGAGCAAAGAAACAATCATGCATTCATGCACAACCCTTCCATATATATGTGTGTGTGTATACACACTCCTAAAGCTCTACCCGCCTAGTCACCTTGCTCTCGAGGTCCTTGGCTATATGACCTTTAATGTCTATAGTATAGACTGTATTTATCTTTGGTACCAAAATGTAGCAAAGTACATATTTTCAGACAAAAGTTATCTAAAATTATAGTCAGGTAAGCTAGACTTTTTGTCTTGATGTAGTTATTTTGGGGTCACTCAGTAAACATGGCAGTCATCCCATGCATCAAATAGCCACAGCCCTTACAATTCAGAGTAGGAGGATAGTATGGGTCTTGTTCCTTAGTAAGATGCATTATGGTTTTGAAGTTTTAAAAAAGATATGTCCAGACCATCTACCCATCTAGGAAATATGGAAATTTATAAGTTATAGGAATGGAAACAGAATGTCCCTGGGGAGGGAGTGCTAGACAGAGCAATGCCTTGTGGGAAAAGTGTTGGGTAGTGAATACGAATTGGGATTATACTTCTGGGAACTGTGAGCCACCTCCCTCCTTCCACTGGGGATGAAGTATATAATAGCACAGCTAACTGTACTTTTTTTTTTTTTTGCCTGAGCAGCCTCAGAGGATGAAGAAATCACTGTCTGCTTTTGGAATGGCAAGATGGTCAAAGTGCCCTTAGGGGTAGCCGTATGGACAGCCCCAGCCTGTTGGGAGAAGGCCGTGGAGATGTTGCACAAGCCATTAGATAGCAGTTGGCCAAAGCCCAGAGAGCATCTTTGCGCCATCCCCTGTACTCCCCCCTGTCCTCTCCTGGGATCTACCCTTGGGTATACTGTGGAAGGGCATCTTCTGGGTTCTTTCTTGTGCCTGTCCCGACATCTTTACCCCCAGTCCTACAGCCACTGTCCACTGTTGCCTAATGGCTGCCTCTGCTGTTGTTCCTTAGCCTGCTCTACTTGGTGGCCTCTCACCAGGACATTAGAGGCCACAACTGGGGACCACCCAGATCCAGACCCAAATCCCACAGCACAACTTCTGGAGTTAGACAATCCCAGAGACAAAAAAGTGGCAGCTCGCGTTTGTGTGGGTGTTACTTCCTCCTCTTCCTCCTCTTCTTCCTACTCTTTCTCTTCTGAAGAGGAGGATTTGGGGAGTGATCTGAAGAAAGCGCTTCCTCAAAGAATTATGGTGGACAGCACTGTCAACACTGACACCAGCCTTTTTGAGAAGCCCCTGAGACTGACGGTCCTCAGCCAGCCTCCCTGGAAATACTGGAAGAGAAATGGCCTAGAGTCCAGCCAAAGAAAGCCAGGTATGTTTAACTTCAGTCACCTGGGGGGCAGGGGCATGCTGGTAAAATATTTAACAATTGGATCTCCAAAAAAAAAATCATACTCATTGTTTAGCAACTTGCTTTCTGAAAAAAAATCATACTCATGATGTACTTCTAAGTTTAGTCTGCACCGTTAACATTTCCCCCATAAGTCAAGCTCTCATCTCTGATATTTACTGATTCCCAAGGTGAGTATTGAATAGGTTCTCAGGAGCTGGTTTCAGCACACCCCTGCCTTGGGGGGAGGGCGCGGGGAGAAACAGGTGATTTTTCTTGTTGAAGTCAGTCCCTGACCCACTTTGACGTGGCCATCTCATCAGAGTTGGACATAGGCAACTCTCTGGCATCAGGTTGGAAGTCCCTTGAGGGTGATCTTGAGGGAAGAAGGTGAAGACTAGGTATTTCTGCCCAATTTGAAATAACTGGGATTCAAAATTGAAAAATCTGATGGGAAAAGAAGGAATGAACCTTTCCTGCTAGTCACCATCTTTGTTCTTGATTGTAATTCTAGGTCTGTATTGAGTCCGCTCTCACAGCGTGTGAGAGTAACATCTGTCTTCAAATGTGGTCACCGATGGGTTTTGGTGTACTCACAAGAGCCTGCAGTGAGGGTTGGGAAACATCTCAGATCTGGAAACAAACCGTGCGCTGGGTTTTCTTGGCCTTGTCATCGTTCATTGAAACTCATAAATGGTGGCTGCCCTTTTGGGTGAAACCCACTAGTAAAGCCCAGCTAGAGCCTAGTTACAGTGGCTTAAGACCCCTTATAGGTTCTCAGCAAAAACTGCTGATTGAACGGATTTCTGGACTTATATGTCTGTAAGCTGGGGCCTGGGCTATTCAGAGCCCAGTGGGAGTGTCAATGAGAAGTCTTTACTTTTACATTAGGCTTATCTAGCTTACGAAAACCTTTTTATATTATTGTATCCTCATGATAATTCTGTAATGAGGAAACCCATCTAGTGAAGGAGGTAAGATTAGAACCCAGGCCTTCAGATCCCCAGTCCAGGGCTCCTTCTGATGTACCAGGCTGTCTAAAATTAGATATCAATCACATGCTCTTTTTCATCTGGCCCGTGGAGGGTGAAGGACATGGAATTTGTGCTTTGAAAGAACCTAGGGCTTCCCATGGAACCCTCCCTTCCATTCTGCTTCTGGCCCTCTTGGGTTTGCAGGGAAGGACATTGTTAAATTCTCTCACTTTCCAGCCTCCCCAGCATTGGCCCCATGTCCTGACTTTGCCAAAAGGTCCTGAGGGGATCCCGCCTGACCCACTGGGCGCCTGGGGGGGATTCTTGTGACGCAGGGGGTCTCTTTCTCCACCTGGAGTGATTTACTCTGATTTCATGTTGTCCCTTTTTGGATCTTGTGTGTTTCTTCGAGAAGTAGCTTCCTCAGCTGTGAGTAAGAACAAGAGGAACTCAGGGCCAGAACCATGTCAAGGCTATTTATAGCATGTGAATTGTAGGGCTGACTTTTTCTGCCTTACATCTTAAGTAGCAGAGTCTATAAGAGCTAAGAATTATAATAGTTTTGCTGGATAAAGAATCCCCAGACCTAGACCTTTTCATTGTCTGCATCACTAATAATGTAGACCCCACTTCCTGTATCACTAACCAATGGGACTAGCTTGTTTGAGGCCACTGTCTCATCTCCATGGCAACTGCTTACAATGATGTATGGACCTTGAACTGTTCCTAACGGTAAGACCTCACACTGAGGGTGAAAGGGGGGTCACATGGACTTTGCCAATAGAAAAACAATGTCTTTAATTACCATTCTGGGACAGGATGGTCTACCATTACTTAAGGATTGGTGGAGACATATTAATCTGGTGGTGTGGTCTAGAAAGATGGGAGGGAGTCCTCTTAGTGTCCTCAGGGACACTACGGGAAACCTGGGTTGGTTTATCCATATGGAGATGGGTATGGACTCTAGAGGCTTAGGAACTTAACTGCTAAATCATCAACTTCCCCATCAGTAGTAACTGACCATTGAAAAACCAAGACAGCATCCAGACCCTTCTGGAATAGAATTAGTCCAATATCAGACTCGGCAAAAAAAGCACAAACTAGTGTTTTCTAAGATTTGTCTTCTTTCAGAATCAAATGAGTGATAGAGAAATTAATACCAGAAAACCTGGGGTTTTCATGCTGATTTTCCCACAGATACATGGAAAAAACTAAAACACTAACTGCCCAACAGACAGGGCATCTATGGGGAAGACAAGTGAAATGGAGGGGCCTTGATGATCAGGGGTGTCGCAGGTACCTTTCTTCCTGTGAGAGTACCGAACAGCTACATAAGTCTTGTCACTAGGTATAGACACAAATAAAGACCCATGCTCCTGCACCCCCCCCCCCTTAATATCAGCTCTATGATTCACATCCTCTATACAGCCTATGGAATCTCCAGTGTTGTGGGCCATGGCAACTTTGTACACAGGTTCACCCAATAATTTGGTCCATGCTTAATTTTCCAATCTGAAAAGCATGCTGACTCTACTTAGCCCCGATGTTGTTTCATCTCCCACTTAACTCTCTTTACTGATCATTCAAAAGTTCTCCCTTCCCCCAAACTCCAGAAAATCCTGAAATCAGCAGATCTTAAATTGCTGTCAGACTTATTAATTGATTTATTTTGAGCTGCAGGCATATATGGCTAAGCTTTAAACATTTGAGTAACCGGCCATCTCTACTGGTTGAGATGCTATGCTTAGGGCCATATCTTAGTGAGGAAGATTTATTTTGACTAGACCTTCTTAACTCTGGGGTCTGTGGATGATGGCAAGATCTCAGAGGGCCTTTGAGCTTGGATAGAAAAAAAAAGTACATCTTTATTTTCACTAACCTCTAATGGAAATTTAGTATTTCCTTCAGTTATGAACGTAGACAGCAAAACATTATTCTAAGACGGGGTCCATAGGCTTCACCAGACTGCCAGAGGTGTCAGGGATGGAGGAGGGCATGACACACAAAAGAGATCAAGAACCCCCATCTAGACCAAGTGGGGGAGGCTGGTTCTGCTTCTGTGGCATGGAACGTATCATTGATGGGTTTACCAGGAAGGACAGAAAACAAGTGCTGAGTTTTTCTCTCCACCAGCTGATTTTAGGGAACCTGCTATTTAGAACCTTTGGAACATTTTGGAGGGGCACTGCACCTTCTGTAAATGCCTGCCACTTTATGGAATCTCAGAGTTGGAAAGGGTTGACAGAGGGCATTCAATCTAGCCTACATGTGGATAGAAATCCTCTTCACAATATTCTTGGCAAGATAGTCTTCCAGACTCTGCTTGAAGCTCTCCCAATAACGGGAAGCTCACTTCCTGTAAGACTGCTTATTTTAATTTTGGACAGCTCTCATCATTAGGAAGTCTTTCCTAACATGGAGCTAAAATCTGCCAACCTGGAACGTCTGCCTATTGTTGCTGCAGGGCCCAAAGAGCAAACTGCTGTTCTACCTTTCAAATACTGCAAGACAGGAATGACATTCACTACCCCCACCCCCACCCCTCCTCTAGGTTAATATCCCAGTTTCTTTAATTAATCCTCCTACTCATCCCAAAGCTGCTCATTATCCTTTAGACCTGTTCTAACTTGTTAGTGATCCTCTGAAAATGTGGAATCCAGAACTGAACACAGTTTCTCAGGAGTGGTCTGACCAGAGCAGGACTGTCACTTCCTATGTCCTGGACCCTGTTCTCCCATTAATGTCACCTAAGAGCGAGTTTGTTTGCATGTCACAATGCAGAGTCATTCATCTTGCAGTTCATGATAAGACCCCTCCCCCCATCTTTTTATGTGACTGCCTCTTGCCATGTCTCCGCCGTCTTGTACTCAGGCACTGGAACTCAAGGATAGACTTCTCTGTCTCTCTGTCTCTGTCTATTTCATGCCACCTCTAACTGGTTGGGTGACTGTAGTGCTCTATGCAACTAAATTGCCAAGAAGGTGCCAACCTGCATTGGGAGGGAATGTTTCCTCATCTGGGAGTTCCTTATGCCAATGAAATCGTAGGCATGTCCCTATCCACATCCAGACAGGGTGTTGGTCCCACAAATTTAGTGCAGCTTTAAATTTTAACATCTGAAAATATGTAACAGCTTAGTATGACTCCAGATGTAACACTTATATTGTGGTGATACATATATTCTCTCATTTGGATACATTATTTCACCGCTATAGGTTCTCCTTTCACTGATGTAAACCACATACCCTCTGTGGTTTAATAGTAAAAGTTCTGAATAAATTCTATCCTGTGGGCTTCAGCCTGCTTTCCTAGCCCATTGGCTCTGTCATCCAATATGTTAGCTCTCTTTCCTAGCTCCATTTCATATGCATGTATCATTTGTGCCTTCATCCAAAACATTAGGCAGCTAGGATAGAGAGCTGGACTGGGGGCCAGGGAAACCTGGGTTCAAATTGTACCTTGTACTTCCTAGCTGTGTGACTCCAGGCAAATCACTTCACCTCTCTGTGCCTGTTTCCCTGCCTATAAAATGAGGATAACAACAGTGCCTACCTTGCAGGGATGTGGTGAAAATCAAATGGGATGACCCATGTAAAGTGCTTTGCAGACCTGAAAGTGCTATACAAATAAATGCTAGCTATTCATGAAGGTTGCCTAACTCTGCTTTTTCCAGTTGGGCCTCAAGAGTGCCTCTTCTTTCTACCACCCTTCTTTACTTTTATTCATGATTATGAATCACAGGCTCTTTGAGAGAGAAAACACTAGTTGTGAAGAGGTCTTCACAAAGCCATATTAGAGGTGAACTGCATTTCACCAGCCCCATTTTACTCCGTCTCAGGTGGTTTGGGGTTTATTTTGATGTATTCTCTGCAGTGTTACTTCTGTTCCCTTAGCTCCTAGAAATTTGCCTCTCCCTTTCCTATCACTTATCGTTTTTGTCAAATGAGATAATAATGTGTTAAAGCATTGTATGTCAGCTCTATTATTAGCTTAATGTGGCTTAGTAACTTTTTTTTTCAGTGAGGCAATTGGGATTAAGTGACTTGCCCAGGGTCACACAGCTAGTAAGTGTCAAGAGTCTGAGGTCAAATTTGAACTCAGGTCCTCCTGACTCCAAGGGTGGAGCTCTACCCACTAACACCATCTAGCTGCCCCTGCTTAGCAACTTTTTTGGGGAATGTTCTCTGTCTCTACTTCTCAGAATGATCTACCTAAGAATCTACCATCATAGACCAAGGGTCCTAGACTTACATCAGCTTGGCTTCCCTTGTTGGCAACATGTGGAACAATAAGGCTTATATTTGACCATCTCTTCTACACAAGCACACAGGTCTTTTCCCAAAGAATAATGGCAGATGACTAATTCTGAAATTTTATTCCCTTTCAAAGGTCACTGAAAGTGAAAAAGTCACTGAAGAAACTTATAGACACTTGAGACTGAAAAGTTGCTCTAGCCAGGTCCTTTCGGCTATCTGGAATAACTCCTTCAGTACCACGGCACAACCAATACTAACTCATTCTGGGGGATAGGAACAAGGTGTTGCTGCAGTGTATGGGGAGAGAAAGGCAGCCAAAGGAGGAGCTAGACACATGCTGTACTGGTGAAAGCTGGCGAGAAATAGGCCTGAAGCCAGAGCAGACCCTGGCAGAGGAGGAGGAAGCTGAACGGAGTATCAGCTCTGAGGCAGAGAATCACAGAGCATTTCTGTAGGAGCAGAGCCTTGAGGTTACCAGATAACGCAGAAGGGCCCAGGAGAAGGGCCGAAACACTACCCAGAGTCCTTATGGGATATTATTTCAAGGTAGGAAGACAACTATAAATTGTGTATGAAGAATCCTTTTCTAAAACCATAGCATGTTAGACATGGCAGGGACTTTAAATATTCAGTACAACCTGCTGATTTTAAAGAGGAGGAAACTGAGGTGAGAGAAGGGAAGAGGTTCGAGGAGCCAAGAGGGGCCTTTGAGCCCAGGGCTCCAAGCTCCCAGTCTGCAGTTCTTCCCAATTTGCCAGTCTGACTGCCTAGGCTCCCTCTCTCTATTAGTTTTCCACATTTCAAGGGTTAGATTTCCTATAACATGGCTCTGTTTAAACTATACCTTCATTATAGGGAATATCAGTAATTTTTGCAAGGGAAGTTTTTGGGCTTTTTGTTTTTCAAATTCAAAATGGACTAAATTGCCAGGTATGGCACCTCAGTGAATCATAGGTATGGAAAGACATTAAATGAAACGTGAAATACTGTTAGGAGCATTTTTTTTAATCTTGTAGAAGTAGTAAGAGATAAATGTTATTGATCTAATAGCTATAAAAAAAAGCTTTCCATAAAGCAAAAATGTAGGGCCAAGATGACAAGTGATATAAACAATGAGCGTAGTTGTTGTTCATATGGTGGGGTTCATTTCCTGCCTTGTGTTGGGAGAGTTCTCCTCTCACCTCAATGAATCTGGAAGAGGTCTCTGCAGCATTGCCTTTTACTCTCTGTAGGTGGTTTTGTGAAAGGGCATGGATGAGCTGCTTCAGACTTTATATACGTGAAATGTTCCTGTAATAGTAGCCACAGAGTGTCTGTTTTGGGCAAGCAGGTCTCCAGTCTCACTTTTTATAAGCTGGCCCAGACTGCTTTGTAGGATGTTTATTTTACCCCCAATAAAAGTAATAAAATCTGAATGAAATCTTTTTACTTCCAAAATTTCTTTATTTCCATGATTAACTGCATAAGGAAAAAGAAAACAATCACAATTTTACAGTCAAATATCAAGGCACATGATTCCTCACATTCAGGCTGGGGAAGGCAAGAGATACGTCCTTTCTCTCCCCTTTCAGAGCATTTAGTTAAAACACTCTTCAAGACAGACCAGAGCTCCTAGGATATCTGACCTGCTTGATTGGCACTCCATGGACATACTTTTCGTGCATAAATAGTGACAAAGAGAACCGCAGGGTGGTTTGGTTTAATACTCTTTGCTATTAAAAAAAAAAAACCGGTGCTGACCAGTGTTAAAGAGGGAAACTCAGATCGATGATTTCTCCTGAGTCAACCTCTATCATGTGCGTTGTGGTTACATTAGGGGACCCTACTGTGACAGTATAGGTGCCTGGACAAACTTCTATCGTGATGTCCTTTGAACTTGTTCTGGCCTGGAAAGAAAAGATGGATATTGCTGGGTTAGAGCTTTATGGCCCCTTTATCAAAATCACATTTTCCTACCTGGGCTGTGGCCTCTTCATCCCCCAAAATAACTTCTAGCTGCTGCTGCTTCAATGTAAGAATACAATAAAAGTAGGATGGGGTTGTACATAGAAGGAGCTGCTCATGCTGAAGTTAGGTGGTAGTTTGTGGAAGAGAAGGTAGACACCAACATTTGTTTATTAGCTCAGCTTTGTAATAACAGGGAAGTGCTCTGGATGCTAATTAACAAGGTTCTATTAAACCTGTGATAATAGTGGTGGTGGTGGTGGTGCTGCTGCTGCTGCATTTCTCTGCTTCTAAAGCTAAGGCACACTGGGAGCTGATTTCAGTATAGTCATTAAAGCAGCCTAAATTACTTGGCTAGGAAAAGCTGCTGGAAGTTTGGCTTTCTCTTTCAGTGCCTACCCACAGGAAGTAGGAGTTAATGGGAAGATTTGATTCAGGCTGCGCAGTGGCCACAGCTGATCAGTACGAGGATGTCCTGAAGTTATGAGGCATTCAAACCGATTCAACAAATATTAATTAATTAAGCACCTACTCTGTCTAAGGCCTTAAGGCCACATGTAGCCTTCTAAATCCTTAATCCAAATTTTACAGAACAAATTTTTGTTTTGTTACAGAACAAATGTAAAATATAAATGTTTAAATGTAATATATATAAATGTAAAGTGTAAAGCAATATATATAAATTTCAATGATTATAATTGCATGCCTGCAGCAATAGGAGCATCTGCCATTGTGAAGGAAAGGTGGTATTTGTGATTTAATAAAGAACTACTAGCTTAAAAAAAACTAGACCATGAACCCTCTTGTTTTCAGACACTGATTGAGATGAAATTCTGAAGTCTATATACTTTGCTTCATATAGCTGATGTAGGACTGTTTGCACATTCTGAACTATGGAAACAGAGACAGCTTTTGGAAATCGTGCCTATGTTAGGCTTGCAGAATCCTGGAGGATAATCCTGGTGTGGTTACTCTCCATTAATCTTGCACATCAGGAGATGTTACCCGGCAGCCGAGCTCCAGGTAACTCACGGAATGACAGAAAGATTCACATGCCCACAGTTAATCAGTATCAGAACATCTGAGCCAAGAGCTTAAATTGGGAGTAGGAGTAAATAATAATCCTAACTCACATTTGTAAAGCAGTTTAGACTTCACTTAGCACCCACCTTCCTCACTACATTCTTGGACTTATCATTTTTACTTTGCAGATAAGACACCAAAACTTAGAGAAGTGACTTCTCCGAAGTCACACAGCTTGAGCTAGAACTAGAACCCAGGTCTCCCAAGATCATTGCTCCTCCTCCTCCCACCACTATGTGGTCTTGGTTGTTAATACTGTATTGTGACTCCTTAACAATCTGAGTACAAATATTTAAGGAAATTCTTATGGTAACAAATTCCAGTTACTCTTCTGTGGATTTCTCCCTCAGAACCCTCCCCCAAATCGTTTCACACAGTTAATGAGCCACTTTATTTATCCTATGTGCCAAACAGCAGTGTCATTATCTATTGTGACAAGAAGATTTTGGAGGGAAGCAGTTGATGGCCTTCTGGCGAACATTTTGTTTGGACCAGACCCCTGCAAAGCTCTGCTTTTTGGAATTCAAAAAGGGATTTTCAGTTTGGAAGCAAAAGGATCAGCCCACTCCTGCTGACTTCACAGCTGGTGGAATTTCATTGGAATCTGGGGTTGGCACATCCTAACTGCAGGAATTGGGACTCGAATATCTCAAATTCTTTCCAACCACAGCTATGTGTTCAGGCACAAGGAACATCCTGTAGCATTAAATAAAGGGTGCCTGGGGTGGGGATGGAGGCGAGAGTTAGTGACCCAAAGTTGGCGAGCACCATTTTTCCTTAAAGTATCCCAACTTAAGGCAACACTGTAGCCTGTGATACCCAGAGGAATGGCTGGGTTCTAGCTCTGGGGAGGAAAGAACAAGCTTTAGAGCTAGAAGGCTGCTTACCCATCACTTAGTTTAGGGGCACCTAGATGGCACAGTGGATGATAGAGCACTGGCCCTGGAGTCAGGAGGACCTGAGCTCAGAACCGGTCTCAGACCAGACATTTGACAGTTACTAGCTGTGTGACCCTGGACAAGTCACTTAACCCCAACTGCCTCACTTAAAAAGCAAAAAACCATCACCTAGTTCAATTCACTCGTTTTACAGGGGAAGAAGGTGTCACCAAGGTTAAGGGACTTTCCCAAGGTTATAGAAGCAGAGCCAGGATTCAAACACGAGTCTTCCAATTCCAAACTCAGTGCTGTTTTTTACAATATTATCATGTTAAAAAGGCTAATGGTAGGAACTCACCATAGACTCGGATGATCTTGGGCCAAGACTCCATGACCCTGTGTCAAACTTGGATGGTCCTGGGTCAAACTTGGATGGTCCCGGGCCAAGACTGGATGGTCCTAGGTCAAACTGGGATGACCCCGAGTCAAACCTGGATGGTCCTGGGCCAAACCTGGATGGTCCTGGGCCAAGACTGGATGGTCCTGGGCCAAACCTGGATGGTCCTGGGCCAAGACTGGATGGTCCTGGGCCAAACCTGGATGGTCCTGGGCCAAGACTGGATGGTCCTGGGCCAAACCTGGATGGTCCTGGGCCAAGACTGGATGGTCCTGGGTCAAACCTGGATGGTCCTGGGTCAAACCTGGATGGTCCTGGGCCAAGACTGGATGACCCTGTGTCAAACCTGGATGATCCCGAGTCAAACCTGGATGGTCCCGGGTCAAACCTGGATGGTCCCGGGTCAAACCTGGATGGTCCCGGGTCAAACCTGGATGGTCCCGGGTCAAACCTGGATGGTCCTGGGCCAACACTGGATGGTCCTGGGTCAAACCTGGATGGTCCTGGGTCAAACTTGGATGACCCCAAGTCAAACCTGGATGGTCCTGCGTAAAACCTGGATGGTCCTGGGTCAAATTTGGATGGTCCTGGGTCAAACCTGGATGGTCCTGGGTCAAACCTGGATGGTCCTGGGTCAAACTTGGATGACCCCAAGTTAAACCTGGATGGTCCTGTGTTAAACTTGGATGGTCCTGGGTCAAACCTGGATGATCCTGGATCAAACATGGATGGTCCTGGGCCAATCTTTGTTACTTGGTAGCTCTCTCTAGGGTCTTGGGATGTGGATTTTTTCTAAGGAACAGAGTTAAGATTTGATGAATGGCACTTAGTTTTATGGGGTTCCAGATTAGCTCCAGTTTTCTGGATTGTTGACAAGGCTATGACCTTTTCCCCAGGCTTGTTCTGCCAGTTCTTTCTAGTAATGTTTTAGCTAAGACTGATCTTGGACTCATCCTGACATACACCTTGGTACACCTAGAACCCTAAGAGGTTTCTTTCAATGAGTTTTTCACTAAGTGATTTTTTTTGCTCCCTTTCATCCTTAGCTTTTTTTTTTTAATGTGAATAAATTCTTATACTTTCTGTTCTCCTCTAACCCAGAAATCTATAATGTGTTATACAGTGCAGTGGATACTACAGTCTGGCCCAATTCCCCATCAAGATTTTAACCCACTTTTTCCCAGCCTTATTGTAAGTGCTTTCACTCCCCCCTCCCCCACTGAACATAGAATGTCAGAGCTAATGGGGACCTTGGAGATCATCTGGACCAATGGCTGTTAACTTTTTTTTTTTTGTGCTGGACCGCTCTGGCAGTCTGGTGAAGGCTATGGACAACTCCTTAAGTATAATATTTTTAAATGCACAAAATACATAGAAATACAAAGGAAACAAAATACATTTCAATATAGTTATCAAATTTTTAAAAAAAGTTCATGGACCCTAGAGTAAGTTTTCCTGACCTAGTATACGACTCTTTAATTCAACAGAAAAGGAAACTGAGGATCAGCAGCTTGTGCAAAGGGGAGGGAACCTGAGGCCTGTTGGCAACAGTGGCACTTGGATGGAAACAGAGGTCCAACTTCACAGTCAAGGGCTGTGGTCAGTCTGGGGACGTGGCCCAGCTTGAAGGCATCTGTTACATTGGAGCCATCTCACCAGCAGGAGTTAGAGTTAACACCTAGAGCTCCTGCTCTGCCTTCCTGTCCCTACCCATACTCCTCCAAGACCCCCAGAGCCTACTTAGACCAAGTAGCAAATTACTTGCTGGGCCGTGCCACCCCGGCTTGATTATTCTGGAGTCCATTTTTTACAACCATTTTGTTTAACCACAAAAATCTTCAAGTCACTAGGTTTATAACAAAGTACCTTGTTCTTTTGGGTTGAGGTTTTTTTCATCATAACAGCTTAAAAAAGTAACATCCTTGGCTCTCATCAGAATGATGTACATAGACATTGAAAAGGGTAAGTTTGTAGCAAGGAGCTTTGACAACAATTTAGGGTTTTTTTTCTCCTCTCTAAGGAAAGGCTCCAATTGCACTGAACTCAGTCTCAATTCTAACTGAGACCAGTCATATCATGGAAAGAACACTGGACTCAAAGTCAGGCGACCCAGTCAATCTTCCACTTACTGTATGACCTTGGACAACTCATTTCCCCTCTGTGGGCCTCAATTTCCTCATCTGTAAAATGCCAATCATAAAATTTGCATCATTCCTTCACAGGGTTGCTGTGAGAAAAGCACTTAAAAGCCCATCATCCTTAACTTTGTTTCATGCAAAAGGCATGAATATTTTTTTAAAGTCTTCTGCCTATTCTACAGGCTTGGAATGCTCACCTTATTTAAATGCTGAATGTCAGAATTACAGAATAATCACATTGCTCTCAAAGATTGGAGAAGCCAGCTAGTCTGAGCCTTACCTGGCAGCAGTCTACTCTCTGTTGTCCCTGCCAAGTGACCTTGCAGCCTTTGTTTGAAGGCTACCAACAAGGCTGTATGTAACTCCAGCCCAGGTCTGCAGGAATGATTCAGGACAAATCTACTTCCTCACTTCAGAAGCATTCTCAGGCCTCTGGAGCCATCCGCTGCTTGAGGCATGCTTGAAGCATGTGTTACTTTAACATTAGTGAACAGTATCATGTCAAGAGTCTATCATGGGGAAAGTCAAGGGTTTACAAGGTTCACCTGCCCTGGGCACTCACCCGTCTCACCCAGGAAGAGGACATTGGGTCCGAGTGGTTTTGGTGATATCTGTAGACATGATTCAGCGCTGCCTTTTCTGGTACAGAATGAAACCTCTGCAGAACAAAATACAGAGCTCAGAGATGCCCAAAGTCCTAATCAGAGACTCAGAGCTGGAAGGGGCCTGAGAACTCATCTACCACAAAATGCCCCTTCCTGGGAGTCACCTTCCTATTCTCAATCTTCCAGCCTCCCCCATGACTCGTCAGCTCTTCATCAGACTCCCTAAGACCCATACCGAGAATAACACCAAGGGAGAAGTTGGGAAGAGAAATGCCAGTGTCTCTTCAGTTCAATAGCTCTCTATTCTCCAAGAGATTCTACCCCAGGCTGAGTAAAATGTCTGCTAGGAATCAATGTACTTGGCATCCCTTCGCTGCCATCTGCTGCTTCTCTGCTCTCTTTGTACAATGGCAGCAGTTCAGACCACCAAACTCTGAGCAAGGTCCTCCTAGGACAACAACCTGGGCAGCCACTGACCAAGGTGACAAAAATACCCTCTGTGTATTTCCTGTCATGGGCAGTAATAGACTTTAATAAATAGTCAAATGTTTACTGTCCCATCTTTGAAGAAGGGGAAGGGGTCTAGAAATAGGGCCAGAGGGGCAAAGAGCAAACAGCTGACTAGAGCCTCACCTGTGCTAGGTGGGCAGGGTCTTAAGTCAAAGAATGCAAAGGGGTGAAAAGCTCCAGCTGTTCTCTCCTTGACTTCCCCCTCAGGGTTAACTATGGCCTTATCCTCCATCATGACTTACTGAAGGTGCTGAACTCAGCAACACTAACCACAGTGCAAGGGCAGAATGAGGAACTCTTTACCCCAGAGGAATCACTTCTGGGTGTCATAATACCTATGTGTCTGTGCCTAGACTAAATAAAACACAGGGGAGGCTCCATGATTATCTCTCCTCTGAGGGATTTCTGTGAAAGCAAAAAGGATATTCATTTGCTAAGCCACAGACCCAAACATTACTTCTTTTATAAAGCATGAATCAAAAGGTGTTTTCTTGTTTTAAAACTGAATCAATGGCTCACATTTTGTTCTGGAGTCACAGTGACTTTCAAATCGAAGTGGAAATGTGTTCAGAGATAAGAAGGGACTTCTACAGAGCCTACCAGGTATACGTAACTGGAAGGAAACTCTCTCTTTTATGTTCTTTAGCCTCCTCCCTTTACCCAATCAGCTGGTAGCTTTCTTGAAGAGAAGTAGCTTTTATGAAAGTTTTCCTTGAACATCTCAACATGGGCAAACATGTCAGTGAATGAACAGAAAAGGCTAGGCTAGGCCTTGAGAGGCTACATAATGGGTAGGTTGGTACCCAACTCTCACCCTGATGAACTTCTAGTTTGAATTACTATCTTCAGAAAGGTGTGACCACGGCCACTGTCATCGCTGTCAGAGAAGGGCTACCATCTCTCATGCCAGCTTGTAGCCAACTTCCTCATGTTCTGCTAATGGAGGAGAACAGTTACTGGTGTTTGATCTGCCTGGGGCCCCTTGTGTACCTGAAAGCTGTTATAAATCACTTGAACCAGAAGAAATAAGTAGAATCTTAGGTGTGATTCAGTGATAATTTTTTTTTGCTACCTATTAGAAAAGGATGATTCTAATTTAAGTTGGCCTACAACATTTTTTAAAATCTGGGTTCAGTTTTAAAAGGATCCAATACATTTGTGTCCAGGTCGGTTTGGAGCCCAGCAAATCCACTTTGTTTTGGGTTTTGATTCATGCTTTAGTTTAGCTGAAGTCCCTGGCTTTTACATCACCTCTTAGCTGACCTATACTGTTCAGTCTGTTTAGGTTGTGCCCAACTCTTTGTGACCCCATTTGGAGTTTTCTTAGCAAAAACATTGGTACAGTTTGCCATTTCCTTCTCCAGCTCATTTTGCAGATGAGAAAACTGAGGCAAATAGGGTAAAGTGACTTGCCCAGGGTCACACAGCTAGAAAGTATCTGAGGCTGGATTTCAACTCAGGAAGATGAATCTTCCTAGCTTCAGGCCCAGTGCTCTATCCACCTAGCTGCCCCATCCTGGTATAGCTGACCTATACCTGCTCCTTATGTGGTTCTGCCAATCAAGGCTGCCCGTCAGGAGAGGAACAGGAAGGTTCCATGAATTCTTAGAAGTCATAAAAGTAGTAGGTTGGTCAGTAGCATGGCTTTTGCCTGGACTCACCCCACACTGGCTTGAAACGTAATCCATGTATTCCATCATTGTATTGAATGAAGTATTGAGGTTTATCGGTTTCCCTTCTCCCTGTTGGTTGAACAAATGATGAGTTTTCCACTACGTTTTCTGCCTCTGAAAACTTCTGAATTTTGGACTTTCTAGGTGTGGTGTATGTGTTTGGAGGCATCTACTGAAGAATTCTTTCCTGGCTATCCACATGTAAACTTTGGCCTAGAAAGGTGTTGTGGTGTCACTGGATTAAGGAGCCCTGGATTCATGTCTGGCTGTTATTCCTTATATGACCTTGGGCAAGTCTTTTTTCTCCACACGTTAGTTTCTCCATCTGTAAAATGAGAGATTTGGACTATATAATCTTAAGATCCCTTCCAAATTACTGTTTTAGGAGGGAGAGCCAGCACACACTTTTTTTTAAAACTTTTGGATCACAGGATTTTAGAGCCACACGAAGTCCTAACAATTATCTGAAAAGGAATCTGAGATAATCTAGTCAAATTCCTGCATTTTACAGATGGGGAAACTGACTCCCAGAGAGAGAGGAAGCCTATAGGAAACAAGGCAGATACATTAAAAATCAACCCTCCATCCAAATTAGCTGAGAACGACCACTCTTCAGCATCTCTACTACCCTGAGGCACTAAAACTCTAATAGGCGGATTTCATAGCTTTTCTGTGTAACACACAGACTTGAGTAAGATAAATCCCTTCAACTACTGGTGGGTCTAATGATCCTAATGATTCTTAGAGAACATCTAGCCTAATCCTCTCATTTTACAGAGGAAGAAACTAGAGAAGGCATTGTTCAAGTCACAGTTAGGATCAGAGAACCCAGGTCCCCTAACCTAACTATCCAAGACTCTTCCCATGGGCATTTACGGGGCGCATGCGCACAACTAGTTCAAGATCACGTTTCCTGGTTAGGTTCAGTTAACTAGGTTTCTGAAGCCCTCCCCACCCATCCCCATCCCGCTGCAACAACGACAGGGGTACAGGAGACACAGGGAGAGTCGCTGGGGCTCCGCAGCCACCGGCAGAGCTCTCTCTGGGCTGGCTGGGTCCCGGTGATCGCTGTGCCCTCCCCGAAAGTTCTCAGCCACAGACCCGAAGATCTTCCCCCAGTGAGGACCGGTTGACAGCTCTCCTCTGCGCCCGCTGCAGCACCTCCCGGCCCTGTCTGCTAAGGCGCTTCTGGGTTTCTCTGTCCAGCCAGTTCAGTGAACGGTCCTCGGGGTAGTCGTCCATCCTACCCTGCTCATACACAGAAATGGGTTATCATGGGGGTGGGGGCACGGGACTGCCCCTCCACCTGGGCAGGAACGCCGAGGGCCCCTCACCTGGGGGAGTGCGCGCGGAAGGGCTGCAGCCATTGGAGCAAAGGTGTGCGCTACCTTCCTTCCTCCCTGACCGCACTCGGGCCCCGGCGCGAAAGAACGTGGGCCAGCGTGCCACCACGCAGCATTCCCAGCCCCATCCCCCTCACCTGGTTCTGCTCTCAGGGCGCATGCGCTCCGAGCTCTCTCTGGCCCCGCGGGGCGTGGAGACAAAAGGAGGGGCGGAGGTGGGACCGGGGATGGGGAGAGGCGGGGCTCTGCTCCGCGCGCGATGCGTGCCCGCTTCTTGTGCGGTAGCCTGACGTCAGGGCCCGGCGGGCGCGCTTGGGGGCTTCATAGAGATCGTGGGCGGGCGACGGTCAGTGTCGGAGTGTGCGGGGGAGGGGAGGAGGCGCCCCCTTTCGCGGGCCCGTCTGTCCGCGGACCCTTCCCTCGGGAGACGGACAGCGGCGCCCGCGGGGACGCGAGGGCGCCCGGGGCGAGCTGCGACTGCGGTGCGTTCTGGCCGCCTTCCCGTGCTTTAATCTGCGGCCCCCACTACCTGTTCTGGCCACCGGCTGTTGGCCGCTGCCCACGGGGCCCTGCTCGGGTCCCCCCTCCCACCGGGGTCGGGTGGGGCCTTGTGTTTAGCGCTGCGCTGCTGGAAAGCCAAACTGTGGGCCCTGCCGGACATGTGGCCGGGCGTCCTCGCTAGCCGAGTAGTGGGTATGGCCAGGGGTGAGCCCCCGAAGCCCTCTCGGAGCAACCAGTAAGCAAGCACTTAATAAGCGCCTACTGTGTGCGGACACCGCGGCGATCACTGGGCATACAAGGAAAGGCAAAAACACGTTCTCTGCCGTCAGGTTGCTTCCATTCTAGTGGACCATAGGCAACATGTAAATAAGTATATACAAAATATATGCAGAGCGTTCAGTTATGTCCGTAGTTTTAGGAAACTCAGGCAAACAGGGTTAAGTAGTTAGTGACTTGCCCAGGGTCACCCAGCGAGTAAGTGTCCGAGATCGTATTTGAACTGGTCTTCCTGACCCTAGGCCCAGAGCTCTAAGCAGTCCGCCATTTAACTGCCTAGTGTGCAGATTAGATAGTGGCTAATCTGAAAGGAGAAGACACTGGCACTGAGGTTGGGTTAGCAAACGACTGGATTTGAAAACGGGTTGGCTTTGTAGGGTGAGTTTGAGAGTGAGGAACCGAGAACAGCACCCAAGGTGTCAAGTCGGTATGACTGGAGGAGCTGGTGGTCTGCCTTCACAGTGAGAAAGTAGTTTGGAAGAGGGAATAGTTTGTGGTGAAAGATCGTTCCTCCTTTGGAATTCTTGAGTTTGAGGTGTCTGAAAGGCAGTTAAGTGAAGTTTTGTAACCCTAGACCACCCCTTCTTCACTTTGCTCATATGCCACAGGATGGGGAGCCCAGAAGACCAGAGACTTATGAGAGGGGTCAGTCTGGTCTAAATCCTTTATTTTTACAGATGAGGAGAAACGAGGCCATAGAGGTCCGAGTGATGCCCAAGTGTAGACATGTAGGAGGGTAGTAGAGCTAAGATTTGAATCCTTGTACTCCTATTTCACCATTCTTTTTACTGAATAACTCAGAAAACTTGGGTCCAAGTTCTGGCTCCAACACATACCATCTTGGTGACCCTGGACAAGTCATTTTCTCTCATCTATAAAATGGGCATAATACTTTAACACAGAAGGTGATGACAAAAAAACACTTTGTAAACATTAAGGTGATAATATAATTATGGGTATTTGTTACACCATCCAGCACAACCTTTTCTACATTTCTTAATAAATGTTGTATTGACTTTAAATGATTTGAGATTAGGTCTTTAGAAGCTACTCTTTTTGAGTTCCTAAGCAGTTTTCTGAGATGAATGAGACTTTGCATTACTATCCTGTTATCCTGCTAGAGAATACTAATTTTAGAGCTGGAAGGGACCTTAAAGATTACCTAATTCAATTCCTTTTCTTCTTTAGCAAATGAGAAAAGTAAGGCCAAGAGTGATGCCCAAAGTCACAAAAGCAAGTTATAGTTATAGAGCCAGGTACTCTAGAACCCAGTGTTAGTGTTAATTATTTCTTATTTATCCATCCATCCGTATCTTGTTGGTTAACTGTTGTTCCCCAATTGGATTGTAAATTCCTCAAGGGTAGGCCTGTCTTTTGCATTTCTTTATGTCCCCAATGCTTAGCACACTACCTGGCACATGGTAGGGGCTTTATAAATACGAGTTATTGTTGTTATAAGTCTAGTAGAGTATAGAACTGAGTTTATGAACTGAGAAAATGGAGAGTTGCATTAGCCTGAGTGCTGCTCAGGAATGTACAAGGTCATCTGTGGATAAAGTGAATAAATACAGTCTATCAGATTATGACTTTCTCAGTACCTCTTTTCACAATAGTACAAGTAGAGAGAATGAATAGGACTTTTTGACGGGTGTAATATTTCATGGAACAGAAGGGTTTGAGAGGAGTCTTCCTTTTAAAGACCTATGGTTTTTGAGTTAGGGGCCACTTCCCTGAGGGGAGGGGAGGAAAAGGGAAGGGCCAGTAAAGAGGGAAAGATGTCCAGGGAATATAAATGTTAATTTACAAGGGGAAAATAATTTAAAATTTTATATGGAAAAAGAAAAGGAAAATCTCTTTCATAAGCTAAAAGCTTAGGCAAAATCATGGATCATGTCAGAGTTAGACAAAATAGACCTAATGCATACTAGAAAATGTAGAAATCAGTTTATTTGATAGGTGGCATTTTCATTCTTCAGCAGCTTAGAAGCCTTAGTATCATTACAGCTTTGTCAAGCAATACTTACCAACCTGAATCTCATTAGATCATTCATTTTACCTGATTACATCAGCTGGATGGATGATTGGGGAAACTATGTCAGTTGTCTTCTTGATCACACTTATGAGGATTAGTTTCTATAATCCACTAAAAACAGCTAGAAAGTTTAAAAGCTAGTTGCAGAGCAAAAATGCTTGGAAAAGGAGGCCATTACTGTGAGTTGTTCAGAACAAAACCATCAGAAATGAAAAGAATAATACTTTTAGGATCACAGGAATGTAGATTGGAAGGAAACTGAGAGGTTATTGAGCCCAACTCCTTTATTTTACAGATGAGGAAACTGAGGCCCAGAGAGGCGAAGTGATGTAGGGCCAAAGGTCACATAGAGGATGTAAGTAGCAGAGCTCAAATTTAAACCAGGCTCTCTTGCTCTAGATTTCTTGTCCTTTTTGCATTATTGGGTAGTCTCACAATTCTCTTGGAAAAAACCTGGACATTTTGCACAGAGTTCTAGTTTCCTAAAGACTGATCAACTTATGGAGATGTGACTGTTTTATGTGACTATTTTTGCTTTAAATTACAAATGTAACAGTTTGCTGGAGAGGGAAGTGACCCCATATACTTAGAGGTCTACCTTCTGTATTCTGGAGACCCTTGATTTACTTAAATTGGAAAAATAGGTGATTCCAGGGGGTAATTGTAGATAGCAATCCCTTAGGAATGATTTTGGTGAGAAAATTCATCCTTTTGGTTCACATTCCTTCGGCCCTGAGCCTCTCCACACTTGCCTAGGCAAGTTTGAAAATGCTTGACACAGTATATCAGGCCATTCTTGAAGCCTTCAGAGCATACAAGTATGGCTGATGTGGCCTTTGGAAACTGAGTGTCACATCCGTACAATTATGAGACAATGGCAGAGGACTGTAGTAGAGGCTGGAAATGTTATTTGTCCTAAATTACATAGTTTCACGATCAGTCCTAAATTTGCCAAAGTATAATTACAGGTATACCCTCACTTTAAGAAAAGCCAAACCTACAAAAGAATTCCTTTAAATAATATGTTTACACATTTCTGTTCCCAACTTTTATGTTCCATTTCTTCTTTTTCCCCTCAAAAAAGCTATTTTGGGAGGGAAAACAAATTTAAAAAAATTTTTCCCTCCCTCCTTTTTCTCATATATTTGCTGTCATTGCTTTTTTGCCCAAGGAGTTATCAGATTTTGTTGTAGGTTGGTGTGTGTGTGTGCACGCGCACGTGCGTGTGTGCGTGCCCTCAGTGTTGCTGCTGCTGCTGCTGCTGCCCCTGACCCCCTTACTCAGGACAGTTGATGTAAGGGGCAGATAACCTAGGCAAGGAAGTGTTAGTGTGTTTAAACTCTATGCCCTGTTATCTGTTAGGAGGTTTGAAGAAGTTTCTTTCGATGATGGAATGGGAAGGGTGGCTGGCAATATTGGCCATGCCTCGCAAGGCTTTTGACAAGCTAAGCCAGTCCTCCCTGGTAGGGGTCACACTTGAGACATGAAGCAGCTTTGTGGAGTAAGACCTTTGCTCGTCTGCTATATGCCAGTGGGGAAGGTATTATTCTATTGTCTTCTTCCCCCATCAGACATTGAATCTCACAAGAGAGCCACTTGTCTTCTAGGACACACCTCATCACTGAGAGAGTCAGAGACATAGAGACTGAAAGACACACAGAGACAGACATATCAGGAAAGGAAGCAGCAGAGAAGAGTGCTGGCTATAGGTACATGCCTATAATTCCAGCTACCAGGGAGGCTGAGGCTAATAGGTCTCTTGAGCCTGAGAGTTCGGAGCTGCAGCGTTATGCAGATGGTTTGTCTCAACTAAGTTCAACATCAGTAGGGTGGGACCCTTGGAGCATGAGGCTACCAGAATGTCTAAGGAAAGGTGAACCAGCCTAGGATGGAAATGGAGCAGGTCAAAATTCTTATGCCAGTCAGTAGTGGCACTGGGCCTGAGACTAGCCCCTGTACTTCCAGTCTAGGTGAGACAAGGAGATTCAGTCTTGAGAAGGGAGGGGAGAGGGGTTGGAAGATACAGACATTGGGATCTTTCAATACCGGTGTTATGAGTTGCCTTGGCCATGTGTAGTCTACATTTGTGCTGACTCTTACCTACTCATGGTGTATGTGTATCTATTTGTAGGAAAGCATGCCCTAGATTTATGAGTTTTAAAACTTTTTAATAAAGTTTTTAATTAAGTTTTATACCTTTTGTTCTGTTGGTTTATAGCTATCATTCTATATTGTTTCTATGACATTTTAGTAAATGCTTTTGCTTTTCTTGTCTGTTGGCTGACTATTAAAGGTATACATTCCAGTAGGGGTTCATGAGCT